TACAAAGAAGGCGAAATCGTATTACCTTTGATAGGTTATTCTTGACTCGGTAAATTACTTTGAAGGAGGCGTTTTTTGAAATAGAATGATTAGTGTTAGCCAGGTGTTCAATTATCGCACTCCTTATTGCACCACTATTGCCTTTTCGCAACCTTACTGGATAGTGTTCTTCAATCCTCTTGGACAGAATGCGCGTCGAACGCCCGATGTACGTGGCTGGCTTCACAGCAGCAGGTGAACTGATATCTGCACATAGAAGTGGTCAGATGCGGTATCTTGTCCATGAGGCTTCTGTAGACCAGTGGGCGACTACTGGAGAACACTATTTTTAGTGTTGCTACAAAGAATGTTCATCTCAGAGATGATGTCATCCTTCTCTTGAGAATATCACTTGTTAAATCTCCCTTGAAAACCAAGATCATGTAGAGTTTCTTTTCAGGTGCAGTTAAAGTTTCGTTTCTCCGAATTATTGGTTTGATATTTTTGTCGGTGAATCTTATTGGGTATCCATTTTGGATGAATATTTTTCTTAGAATATCTAATTCTGTTTCCAGAACTTTGGGACTACAGATGCGTCGTGGGATGCGGATGGCAAGTGATTTAATTAAATTCCGCTTTTGTTGAATTGGTGGGTACCCAGCTATAAAAGCTTGTTAGTTGACCATTCCACGTAGGTTTTCTATGGATCTATGGATCTTCTTAGGCTCACATTCTTGTATTACCTGATTAATTATCTAAACTTGACAAACTTAATGTACGCACACATGCAAAAATAATTGTATATATAAATGCAACTGTACAGCTATGTGGATGAATTCACCGTTGAAAAGAGTCTCTTCGTTGAGTGTCTTCTCTTTTTCATACTTATTGTTTCGACTAGAAGTCATTTCAGTTTATGTAAGTGAATGTTGCATTATAGTGGTAGTAGTAACAATGATGGGAATCTATTGAAATCTGATTCCCTGTTTTCAGCGATAGAAATGCAAGAATGTTGCGTAATTTTCAAAGTGTCTGAAATTCTCTTAGTCGTCTGCCTAAATAATTACACCTCGACGGAAATCTTTATGAGTCTCACCCAACAGATATATGAAAATACCACATTTCAATTGATCCACGACCGGATTTTCACCGAATAGTGTGACGAGAATACAGGAGTAAGACAACGCTCCCTATTATCACCGATGATATCCTCAATTGTGGTCGACACGACATCAGCTAAGCACAGAGAAGAAGTAGGTGGTGAAGACAACGAGCCAGCCAGCCAGCCAGCCAGCCAACCAACCAACCAACCAACCAACCAACGACAGCAACAATATGCAGCATTTGCTATCAACGCGAGAAGTTAAAAAGATGTTAGATCTTCTTTATCGACGAAATCATCTTCACAGGCTGGCTGTACAGTCGTATTTATACTTACAAAAAATATATAGTGGTTTATTATTGAGTATTAGGGAGCGACATAATTGATATAATGTAGTAATTGATTGTAGTCGTAGTATTAGTATTTCAAGATGACTGAATTACAAGAATCCAAACAAAACACAGAGAGGGCGGAATTCAGGAATTTGTATTTAGCGGAATTATTATGCAATTCGTATAAGAAATATATTAACAATCAACAGTAAGTATTGAAACAATACAGAGATAGAAATTGTCAATCACCACATCCGTCACACGTCGAATGTCTCCTTGCGTACTTATAACGATGTCTCGGTTTGCTTGCAAGTAGCTGCGACCTATCTGATTCTGTGATATTATTTTCATCAGTATTATCTGGACCTACTTCTGAATTATCTACAAAATCAGGATTATTAGCGGAATCATTAAAATGATAATTGGAACGACCTACTTCATTTATTGTCACTTTGTCCAGGTGTCTGTCATGAACTGAGTGATCTTTGATGTCTAATACCTTCACCACTCGATTTCCCATTTTTTGTAGTATAATTCCAACAGAAGGTCAATAGTCTTTCCCTTTGTAATAATGTACATTAGAAGTCGTGGACATCAGATGCTTTTTGGGAATTCGAGATTTGAAAAGTTTTGCAGGACTTTCACGGGTACTTGTATGCTCTGCATTCGACAGACGCAGTCTATGCATATGCAGCAATTCCTCCATTTTAATCAGTTGCTCTCTCATCTCATTCAGTTTTTCCGTGTTTTCGACAGTTCACATTGTAACTCAGCTACCTCATTTTTGAAAACAGTTGACGCTTGAGTTGCTGAACTTGTAGTGGAGGTTTTCATTGGATGAGATTGAGTATTTTGAAAAGTTGAAAGACACATTGACTCCATTTTACTAGACAGCTTGGGAGAATTATAAGAATGTTGAGCAGCATAAGTATTCGAACTTCTGCAAACAGTCTTGATGTGTCCAACTTTACCACATTTGTGACACTTAGCACCCCGAAAACGGCAAGTGCTTCGTAGATGTAACTTTCCACAGGAGAAACACGGTTTAATGTTTTTGATCTCTCGCTGCATTCTATTACCTGTGGACGGCAGTTTGGATTGCTTTCCATGACCACTTGTATTTTCGACTTTAGAAAGCATGACATCAGATACTGACGTAGTGGGAGCAGAGTATTCATTATTGACATCTTCATATGTAATACATAAATCTTTAGCAGTTTGAAAACTACAAGAAGGAATCTGAATTAACTCTTTCTCTAACTTAGGAATATTGATTCCAGCAATTAGACGATCACGTAGTTGAGTATGCAGCTGATCTCCAAAATTACACTTTGAAGCTTGTATTTGGAGTTGCAGAATAAAGTCTCTAATCCTCTGGTTGGGAGCACGAACCAGTTTATGGAATTGAGCCCTCTCTCTGGTCTCAAATGTAGTTACATGAAAGTGATTTATCAGAAGTTCACGAATCTTGACATATGACAGAGAAATGGGTTTATCTGGAAATGACAGAGTCTTTACTAGGCTATACGCATCTAGCCCAATAGCAGTGATGAAATGTGCTGGTATTTTGTCATCCCGAACATTCTTTGAAATGCACCACGCATCGAAGCATTCCAAATAATCAGCAATCTCCCGCGGAGACCCATTAATAGGAAGTTTTCCCAGGTTATTTAGTTCCATCGCGACGCCAATTTGTAGTAATTATTGTAGTCGTAGTATTAGTATTTCAAGATGACCGAATTACAAGAATCCAAACAAAACACAGAGAGGGCGGAATTCAGGAATTTGTATTTAGCGGAATTATTATGCAATTCATATAAGAAATATATTAACAATCAACAGTAAGTATTGAAACAATACAGAGATAGAAATTGTCAATCACCACATATAATTACTCAGAAGTGGCTTTAGAAGTGAAAATTAAAAGTTATAAATTACGTGGTACTCACCAGCACAAAGATAGAAATTTGATAGGGTGAGAATTGCTCTTGAGTGAGAATAAAAGTGGTATTGGAGTGTCAATTTAACAAGTGTGAAGAGGGTGTGAAAATATACAATAGGAGCAGATGAAATTGATAATAGTGAATTAATTACTAAAGCAAAAGCAAACTAAAAGTAAGATTAAAAATTAAGAACAAAAGAAAAAATCAAAATGTTTTACAGGGAACGATTAGTGAAGAGATTTAGACCAAGGTAGAATAAGAGACTGGACAAACGTTTTCTGTATACAGAGTTCAGGGTTGTATTGCCAGCTCCTCCGCCATACACAAAAGCCGAAACCTGACGCCCTTTGTACCATTTAGCTCCACTTTGTAGATGGTGTTGAAAGACGACTCTGGTGAAGCTACGTGACCTGAGTTCACAAAATGCTCAAGAATTGAGCACTGGATTGTCCTTTTCCAAACATGGCGGATAATGTTCACAGATGCGTTTGGAAAGTGTGCGCTTTGTGAGAGCGGCCAATTTAACTAGCTCCCCATGAGCAAGTGAATCTATAAACACACATTGAGTACCACCTAATTTACAACTTTTAATTTTCACTTCTAAAGCCACTTCTGAGTAAATATATCACTTATGTCGCCCCTCTGTATTACTCAATAATAGACCACTATATATTTTTTGTAAGTATAAATACGACTGTACAGCCAGCCTGTGAAGATGATTTCATCGATAAAGAAAATTTTCTTCACTGAATTTGTCTTTTATTTTCTTCATGACTTAATGGGTGTTTTCGGTGAGATATTAGATCCTTCATTTATCTGTGCGGCATCCTTACAAATACAGATGACATGGATAGGAATGTCAAAGATTTTCAGTAACGAAAAGGCGGGACACACCCTTATCATGTATGGATCAGGAACTTTTCATTCATGTCATGAAAAGCATTTCTTACAGCTAGTGCAGATTATTATCAGCAGCTGCCCCTTCTCTGACTCTATACTGAAGATTATATGGGTGATCAGAAATAATTAGCAACAAAAAAACTGTGGAGATGAACCGATGAAGAGTCTACTGCTGAACAGACAAATACTGAGAAAACCATAGGATGACACCATGTGCCGGGCCGTCGATCGAAATTCGAATGTGAAAGGACGAGTTTGGCTGGGGTCCGACAATAACCTGGAGGAGAAGATGAGAGTCTAAAGGCAATCTCGGAGCTAGGCTAACGTGGACTGTTGAAGGCCTATGTTTTCCACTTGTAACCCATAGGGACAGTATTAATAAGATCAGCAGTTCCTGAACTGAGGGGTAAGTGTGTCTACAGGATTTCATCACGAGCTGACATTAGTTAGAGAATCATTGGAAAACCAGCTGGGAGTACTGGACAGATGTTTCGTCCTAGTTTGGGACTCTTCATCAGTACGCACCCACTGGTTTTCCAATGGTTCTCTAACTAATGTCAGTTCGTGATGAAATCCTGTATACCAATCAAGTCCCTGCAAACCAGCACCTAAGCAAGGGTGTCTGTTTTGTTATTTCTAAAGTAGATCACATTTCAAAAGTAAAAATCATAAAATTCCACGACAATTTTCATCATCATCATCACCGCGTTTATTTTTTGCACCTTGTTTTTCTTTCTCTTTTAGAAGAAAGCGCATCAATCCCTTCCACAGTTGAATAAAAGAAATGGACCAAATAATTTAGTCAGTGTCAGCACGCATAAGCAGTCTTCAATAACCGATTTGACTATGCATTTTCCTAGTCATAATAAAAGCTTAAATCGTGTGTTGAATAAACGTCAAATTCACATGAATAATCATATACACAGTAATAATATTAATGCTAATAATAATAATAATAATAATAATAATGATAACAATGTGAATCATATCAATGAAAGTAATGACAGCAATGTATTCGATTATTGTGCGAATAGAGATGAAGAAGACTTTTAATACTCGGACTATTATTTTGTATGTACTCGGTCGGTTGCTTTCTCTTACTATGGATCTTACTTCGTCTTGGTTCTTTATTTACTCTTACAGATATTAATGACAGTAACTCGCAGTTTGATTTGTCAGTCATTTGGCAGTTTGAAAAATATGCTGAGGCCATTTTTAATAAGAGATTTATTTTGTTGAATAACATTTTTCGTCAAGTTCTTAAACTCCCAACTCTTAAACCCTAACCTTAAAGATTGTGTTGTAAAGTGCCTTTAATAATCTGTTAAATTTCATATTGTTATTCAGCAAATTATATATATATATATATATATATATATATATATATATATATATATATATATATATGGAAAAAAATTCACCAAACATGATCCTTTTCGATAATTTTCTCTTCAGGCTCTACAATTATACATATACGTCTATTTATATACATAGAATATTCTAGAATAATCGGCATTAACAATACTGGCGTTTCGCTTTAAATACTATCGATTTGTCAAGTAAGATGACAGTGGATCTACCACAGTTGAAGAAAGATGCATAAAAATGAAGGAAATATCTACAGCAACAAATTACCGTTATTATTTCCTTTAATTCCTAGAGGAACATAGGGATTCAGCCGCGTGTCTCCATTGAGTTCGGTTCTCTGCCAACGTTTTCATCCCCTGGCTTCGAGTCTGCCCACATGCTTTCATATCCTCTTCACATGAATTCCTCCAAGTCACTCTCACAGTGACGACCAACTAACTCGTCACTTTCTAATGGGGTTCCACTCGAGCAATGGCTTGTCTAGTGATGTCACTTGATGGTTTGTTTTCTCAGAGTATGGCCAATCCATCTCCATTTCTTCCTGCCTACTTGTTGTACAGTCGGTTCCTGCTGGGTTGGTTCGCTCATTGCCAGAGATCCATGTTGCTGATCTTTTCTGCACGACCATCTGATCTTGAGTATTGAGTGAAGACAGTTAGCTGTTACTGAAGGTCTGTAGTTTGTTTGAGATGCTCTTTATGACTCGCCAAGTCTCTGATCCGTATAGTAGCACTGACTTTACATTGGAGTTGAAAATCCGGATCTTATTTTTTGATGCTAAGTGCTGTTGACCTCCACACAGATTTGAGAGTAATGAAATCATGTCTCGCTTTCCTGATCCTTGCGTTGATATCTTCATCAGTAGTGTCCACCTGTAGTTGAAACGATGCTTCCAGGTCGGTAGGTAAAGGGGGTTGTTTCTTTCAGGGTCTTCCCATTTATGCTGATTGTTGTTTGTTGTTATCGTCGCCGTTGGTGTTGGCCAGGAATCTTCGTCACCTCTGTTTTCTCTGTGTCCACCTGAAGTCGTATCTTCTCTGGATGCCTCTTCTGCCAACTTGTTGCTTTTCACAAGTGGGAAATCAGACATGTATAATCGGCGAAGTCCAGATCCTCCACGTTTTTTGTGTGAGTCCATTTTATGCCTGTTTCCTTATTGCTCGCTGTCTATCGCACTATCCAGTCTACCGCTCGCAATCAGGAAAATCATTAGCGATAGTAGGCAGCCTTGTCTTACTCCCGTCTTCACTTCGAAGGATTCCGTAAGTTTCACATTGTGGATTACTTGGCATGCAGAATTGTCGTAAAAACTGTTGGATGAGATGTATAATTGTCGATGGCACCCCGTAGTTGCGAAATCATCTCTTGATAGATGCTGCGCTGTCGAAGGCTTTTTCAGAGTCGATGAAGTTGAGATGGAGAGGTGACTGTCATTCCAAGCTTTGTTCAATGATGATGCGTAGTGTGATGATATGATCAATAAATGACATGTTTCTCCTGAATTCAGCTTGTTCCGGTCGACGTTTTTCATCCAGGGCTTGTTTGATTCTTTCCAGGATGATGCAGCTTCGTATTTTGCTTGGGATGGACAGGAGCATAATGCCGAGCCAGCAACAAATTAAGGATCAATAAAAACTTGATGCCTTGGCATCTAAGAAAAGCGTCTGAACCAACTTCTCCTTTTTGTATACATACGATAAGGTATTCTTAACAATGATCCCAGTGATGTGTAGTAGACGAACTCTTAATCTAAAGTTAAGATTAGTTTTAATGAAGCAAGAACAAAAGCTTTTGCAGAATAAAATGGTACCATAATTGTTATTTCACTGGCGTCTCATCATCTGCTTACAGACCACAGATATTATTAGGTATATCTACAGAAACAATTTTAACATACTTGCACAGAATACACTTTTAAACAAAAATCGATCAATAAATATCTGCACACAGTAATAATATGTATATATATATGCAATATTAAAGACTATTCCGAACAATAATTATCATACACAATGGAAACTTTCGACATTGCGTAATCAGATGAAAGAGAGGTGAAGATATCCAGTTACCAGGGTTGGCAAAGAGAGACTGATAACTGTTTCTTTCTGAACGACGCATAAATCAAGTTTCAGGCACTTGATGGAGATCGCTTCACCAAAGAAACCTGAGGAGAATTGAACTGTTTTGCTTGTTGGTAATTTTGAACGATCTTGCGACGTCCACCTAATGATCCGTGTGAAGGAGATGACTGGCGATGGCACTGTTTAAAGCACTTGTTCTCTTTATATATAAGCTTTTTGGTACATGTTCAGAAAATCGTAGATATGTCCTTCTTCTTTCTGTTCTTCCAATGTAACTACTCCCACAGACACATGTAAATTTGTATATACAGTTGGAGTTGTTAAAATGAGAAGGATATCTATCGATTTTTGATTGCAGCAAAGATGAGCAAGTTGTTCGGTAGACAGGAAGGAGCTTAGCTGCATGCAGGATAGGCTCTGGCTGGTGACGTCCTCAGTCTTTTGTTGACCATTGCTGCAATGTTTTCACCTTTGTTATCAAGTTGAGTGTGGACGGCATTTTTCTCCACTGTGTTTCTGTAGATATACTTAATTATGACTTTGGTCTCTAAGCAGCCGATGAAAATCCAACGAAATAAACAATGGTGGTACCGTTTTATTCTGCAAAAACCACTATTGCTCTTGCTTTATTCAAATTCGTTAAGGGGAATAAATGTATAAGATTAGCTTATCGTCAGATTTTCGGACACCATCTTGCCTAGTAATTGGTTAAGTAAGGGACAAACACAATTCATTCATAATTAACTCCATTCTACTCATCTCGTGGATACAGAACACAAGATTGATGTCAGCAAGGCTGCTTTCAAAGTCGTCTACCGCATACCAACTAATCTTCACTTTACCTTAAGAGTTCATCTACTAAATATTGCATACGCTGGCTTTTGGCATCTATATTAAGAGACCTAAGTTATGTATCCAAATGAAGGTTCTAATGATCCTTAATTTCGATAGAGAAAGAAAGACCAGATTTGCAGCATAAACTGATATCATCATTCTATTTCACAGGTTCTCTCTTATCAGCTAACTGCAAACTACCTGAAATTACAATAATTATAAATAATAACATTTCACACTTCAATCTTCGAAAGGTAATAGAGAAAACATTAAAAGATGAATGCATTCGGAGTATAAGTATCACAATTTTATATGCTATCAAACTATGAAGAAAAAGGTGGGCGGTGAGAGAAGACAGAAAACGAAAAATCTAATAAACAGTGTTAGCTTGCACGTCAACATGGCAACTCAAGAAGGTCAAAGTTCATCAAATTGAAAACTGGCTCAGTGAGTTGAGCTCACTAAAGTGTATGACTAACCAGTGTAATGAAAGTGATATGGTTACCAAGGAAGTGAAGTTTGACTACACTCTCTTTCTGTGTGCACTAGTTTGGTCTGAGATGTTTGATTGCAATCGCTTCAGCTAATTGTTGTAAATTCGCTGTCCTCTGTATGTTTAATATTTTTGAAGGATTTGGAAATTTTGACAAAATGACTCAAGGTATCCACTTGGTGTCTCATAACTTCTATATTAGTAAATATCTGCTTCCTTTTAAGCATAAATTTCTTGAAATATGCTCTGAAAACCGGATAGAAGACCTTCTTTCTGTACTTCCAATGTACTTGCTGCCTCAGGTGCACGTAAATTTATAAATGCAGTTGCAGGTAACATCAGTAGGGTACTTATTCAGTGTTGATTGGCTTATAGAGCATGTAGTGCTGTATATTGCTACCAGCTTACCTGCAGTGAAGCATCCCTTTATTGCTGCTTACATCCTCTTGTCAATCTCTTGTGATACTGCTTCACCTTTGTATCGGAGACAAGTGAGCGCCTTCTTCTTTTAAACGGTTGGATACTTCGCTTTTGCATATTTTTCTCTGCTGTCCTCTAGGATAAACCCATTTGGATACCCGTTTTCTCTGAGGGATTTTTCAACAAAGCTTAATTCTTCTTCTACCTTGTTAGGCGAACATGACTTCCTGGCTCTGTTGTACAGTGTCCTTACCATTCCTCGCTTATCGCTTATAAGGCAGAAGCTGTTGTAGTGAAGATATTATCCATTCCAAGTCTCTTTTCTGTAGATGGACTTTTCAAACGTTCCATCGTTTCTTATTTTTACTTTTATGTCCAGGAAATTGGACTCTTCATTGTGTTTATATTTCCTGGTGAATTTAATGTTTGGGGAAGGCGTGGATCTCATTAAGACGGTCAGATGATATTCCTCAATTTGGAAATTTCATTAATTTTATTTTATTTTCTATTTGCTATACCATTTGTATGCCTATTATAATTTATGCATCTTTCTTGAACTGTGATAATTCCATTGTGATCTTAACAAATCGATAGTAGTGAAAAAATACCAATATTGTTAATGACGGTTATTCTGGAATATTCTATATATATGTCTTTCACAGTCTTCCAACACTGAAGCCAGCCTATGGATGTCAACTCAACATGGTGATCAGGCTTTCATATCACGATGAGCCCAACAAGCTACACTGACTGTGACTAATGTTCTCGCATGTCATAACACACGACGAAATTCGTTTAGATAGCGGGTAGACTAAACACAGTTACCATCGGGGTTTAATTCTTTTACAATATGTTGAGGGCTTCAAGTCGGACCTAAATGCGAATCGATGATTTTTTCATCAGAAGTTGAAATGAAGGGGATGGTGTGAGGGGGAGATGAAGCTAAAAAGGAACACAGTGAACAGACTGAAGCAGAGATGCCTTGTTGAAGCCCCATATTCCCCTCGGAACCTAATAAAATAATAACTAATTTTGGGGATCTATGAGCAAATTAGTACTGATAATGAATAGGGCATTTTCCTAGGACGGCAAGCTGTACTGTTTACCCTCTAGGTGGATTCATGGATTCAAAAATTGTATATCTCTACCTAAT